TTATATCACTATTTAGCCCATGTAGGAATCGGGCCATAGTAGCCTCCCGTGCCTTCATAACATTAGCCCTAATCATGGAAACCTCCATCTCTTTGTAATATTCATCAACACCTCCACTACCTTGTATGAGTCTTTGGAGCTTGTTGTGAAGATCTCTTTGATAATGAGAAGGAACAAATCTTCTTCTCATCAACCTCTTCATTTCTTCCCAACTTTCCACCAAGGGTTCTTCATATCTCACCCTTTCCCTTTGTAATTGGTTCCACCAAATGAGAGCATAATCAGTGAATTCCATGGCTGCCACCCTCATCTTTTTATCTTCTGTGTAATTATGGCATGCAAACAGTTACTCAATTTTTATCTCCCACTCCAAATATGCTTATGGATCACTCTTTCCTTGAAAAGAGGGTATGTTCAGCTTTACTCCTTCAATTCTGTTATCTCTAATATCACCTTCATTATTTCTCCTTCTCCTCCTTCTACCTCCACCATCATCATCATTTCCTTGATTTTCTAGTTGTTCAATTCTCCCATACAACTCCTTAGTATGTTCTGTCAACATTCTTTGCATTTGGGCTGTAATGGCATCAATCAATAATCTATTGTCACCCCCTAGAGGAGGGGTACCACCACCCGCACTCGCCATCTTTCAAGTAAAAAAGAAGAAAGGACCAAACAAATGAAGTAATAGGACCTCACCACTCTTCTCACGTGTTTGCACTCAAAGATGTACCACTCGTGTTTACTCTCAATTTGGCTTTTGTATAATATGCACTCTTGCCTTTTTCCACTCGTTCTCTGACTTATGGTTCTTACAAGAATCAAACAATCTATAGTTCATGAATCACTTTCAACTGTAGCAATCACAAGGAATAAAACAGAATTGTAGTACCAACAAAGGATAAGTAGCAAAGAACAATTTTACTACTAATAACAAGCAAGACAAATTTAAACTATGGAAAAACAAAGATTAGACAAAGACGTTTGACACTTAGGAATTTTATCAAACAACTAATGTGCACTGAAATTTAAAGAAAGAACAACTGCCACATATATATATATAATTTTTTTTTTCTGATTCTTTTCTTCTTTTGATTCTTTTCCTTTTTTGATTCTTTTTTTTTTTATTCTTTTCTTTTTTTGAACAGTATACGGAACAATGATGAACAGTATAATGAACAATACGTGAACAGTGACAATGAACAGTACGTGAACAGTGACAATGAACAGTACCCCCATGAACAGTAATAATGAATAGTACGTGAACAGTGACAATGAACAGTACCCCCGTGAATAGTGCCGGTGAACAGTGCAATGAACAATACCACTTTTGAACCCTGCTCTGATACCAAATGACGACACTCGAGGTTTTAAGAATTGATTTGATTAGAAATAGAAAACAGAAAAACATAAAAGATACCGTAGGCGCCACAAATAAGAATATTTGATAAGCCAAGAAGGATCGCCACAAGAATCGAATAATTCTTGATAAGATCAAGTGATGCAAGGAAGAACTCTAGCAGAGCAACAACTCACAAAGTAATCTGAATATTACGTACGTTCATTCTGAATTCCAAAATGTTTAATACAACTTAAGTTTATGAGTTTGTCTCATTGCAGGAAATAAAGATAAATTAAAATCCTAATATCTCAAGCAAAGTTAAGTTATCCAAATGGTTCAGTGAAGGCATTATAAGCTTTGGGTCTTGGGTTCAAATCCCCACTGTAGCAAATAAAATAGTAATAATAATAAAAACTTAATCTTTTAGTTGGGCCTCCTAGCTCTCCAAACATTCTATGCATGTGATAGGTCTAGCCTCCTCCATGTTTGGATCTTTTAATAGTTGGGCCTTTAGCAAATTGCTCACTTTGTATTGCAATGCCTCTTGTGCTTTTCTGAGTCTGCCTCTTGTCATAGGTCCACCTAAGTCTTGGATTGGATCTTGATCTTGATCCTTCTCGTTATGGGCTTGGGCCTTTATGTCCACATCATTGTGGGTAGTGTGAGATCCCACAAAAAGATACCCTTTCGTATTGTTAGTATTTGTCCTTCCTAAACTTTGAAAACACAAACTTCCTCTTAATGTGATACACCCACAATCTCTTGGAGTAGTCATCATTATTGATACAAAATATTTGGCCCTTCCTAGGGATAATACTAGTGATTCCAACAATCATAATAAACCAAATTCAATATGTGTATCCTTCTAATAGTCACTCTACCAAACTTCAATCTTTGTTACTCTAAGCCAACAATCTTTCTTGACAAGCCCCCTCTTACCACAATGATAGCAAATGAGATTCTTCCTTCCTCAAGAATTTGATCCATCATGATTTTGACTCCCACTAAAGTCATATTCCATTTACCTACCTCTCATCATTGTCAAAATTTTTGCTTGGTTCAGGCTTTCCACCTTACTTTTTCACCTAGATTCTTCTTCAAGAATAGCTCCGACAACATCCTTAAAGTGTAAATGCCGATCAATATTATTATTCATTATATTGAAGACGAGTTGATCATACGAATCTGATAAACTTTGAAGTAGAAGTTTTGTATGCTCATTTTCACCTATGTTGAAATTTGCCACTTAAAGTTGGATAAAAAATGTATTCAAATTATTAATGTAATCTGTCACCGATGTGGACTCACTCATTCGAAAAGTAGAGAGTTTTCTCTTTGAGAATATTCTTGTATGAAGATACTTGACCTCGTACAATTTGACGAGGGACTCCCAAATCTCTTTCACTTCACCCTTCTTCACAATGCTAGATGAAACCACATCTGCAAATGTTAAATACAAATTTGCTATAGCGTTGTTGTTGATCTTCCCACCGCCGATCTGTGATGCCCGCAAGTCTTTCTTTAATTGCATCTACACAATTTTTTCTTTTCTCAAAATTGCTTTCATCTTTAGTTTCCACAATGAAAAGTTCTTCTCATTGAACTTCTCTATCTCATATTTTGTTATCATGATTTTAACTGACTTATACACCTTTCACTATGAATAGTATTGCCTACTAGAATAATGATGTATATGTACCTTTCACTATGAATGGTATTGCCTACTAGAACAATGACATAGACCATAACTAGTACATCAAGTAAACTTCTAGGAAAGAGATGTGGGTTAGTCATGAATACACTTAAATATTAAGTATTTCCTTACCATAACTTCTCTTAAGCATGCACTATCACACAACCACATTCTATATCTAATAATTAGAATAATTCTTTTCTGACGTGAAAGATCATATTAACTACAACCACATATCATACTAAGAATTTTCTCCAAAACTATTCTAATGACTATAGCAACGGAATAATATTACAAACATAATAACTATATAAGAACTCACAACTAAAATAAAGGATGAGAAAAGAAAAATAAAATCGACAATAGACAATAATAGAATTTACTACCGGAAGAAATTACAATACCTTCTTTAAATCTAAGGAGAAAACAATGAAATAAAAAACTCAAATACTATACAATGCACTTATAAAAAGGAGAAGAAAAATATTTGAGATGATTTACAAGATACATATTGTGCTCATTTTATAACAGAAAAAAAAAATTAACATATTTTTTCGTGGTGTGAAACTTCTCGTCTCACATGTTATTATCTCCAAAATTCATGTAAGAAATAAGTATTTAAACAGAAAACTATCACCAATCGTTTGAAGCATCAAGACCTTCAGTATCTATTGCCTACGATATGCTAAATGGTGCAAAAAACACATGGCTAGAAACCGCATGCCCCTTTATTGCTAATGTCAATTCAATTCCTTTCTGTAGTGTTGTAATCTTAGTTTGTGGATAATACAATTTTTGATTTTGGGTTTACCGTTTGTAGGTGAAACAACTTAAATAATATATTATAATTATATCGATATAAGGAGAATAAATTTTCAAGATATTATATTCCGTAATATTATCCCCTAATATTAGAATATTATTAAGATATTATTATATTTTTATTTTATATAAAGGTATTGTATTTTTTTTATTATCACTTATTTGTTCAAATCAATATATTCTTATTAATCTAAACATCGTAAAATTTTTATAGATAGTTTTCCCATCATTTCAAAAATATTCAATGTAAAAATAAGAGAAATTTAGTGAAATATCCAACCTAAAGCAAAAGGAGTAATGAAACTCGATACATAGTTCTACTTACCAAAATAGTCTATCATAATCTGCTAAGAACATGTTTCAACTTTATTTTATTGTCGTCCTTTAAAAACAAGGAAAGAATCTCAAACTTCATGCAAATCCTTAAAAGATTTCAAATTACTTTTTTAGCTTGAATTAAAAAGATTTGTTAATCCATAACATTGGTCAACAGAAAAGATGGAAGTATAACATCCAATGGTATATGATGTTTGTGTTAGTAAATCACTACAAAAAAATTACCAATTATCTGCTAATATTTACCTACGGATCTATATTCCCTATGAATTTTTATTCGTATATAAAATTATACATTATAGTAGTTTGTCGTATGTAATGTTGGCATGTTTAGGCAAAAACGTTCTAAGGATGAAATCATAGGTCATGACAATAAAATCTATATGTAATGAAGTCATACTTTACATATGAATTTTATTAAAAAATAAAATTAGTAAATAATTAGTGGTTGTATCCTCCTCATTCGTCATTCTCATTTCTGCAAATATTATTGAAAAAATAATTTCACTTGGTAAGGTTAAAAAAATAACTTCAGCCACGACCTCCACTTTCCAGCCCTAGCCTCCACCTTCCAGCCCTAGCTCCCTCTGCCTTACTCTTCTTCCCTGCAGCTTCTTCCCCGCGGAGCAACCTTACTCTCCCTGTACCTTCACTTCCCCTTTTCCCTCATTCCGTCTTCCCTCTACCTCACTCTTTTCTCGGTTCCTCTCAACAACTCAGCCACCCGCACCCCTTTTTCCCGAGCACCCCTCATTGAGCTCCATTTTTAATCTTCCTCAACCCTACACTTGAACTCCACATCCCTAGCTCGCGTTGACACCTTCTCCCTCACCTCCTCCGCGACCTCTGCATCCTAGCGAAACCCACATCGCGTGTCCACCATTATCACCCCAACCTAACCGCGGAGCCCTGGCCGTGACTCGTGCCCCCCTAGCCACTGCAGGTCAACCTAGAGGTTGGTGGTTAGAAGCAAGGGTCGCAGGCCTAAGTTTCCCTTTCTCTTTTTGATTTTTTGTTTATGGTTCTTGATTTGAGTTTGATTATTCTAATTGTTCTATTTGAGTTTGGTGATTCTGATGGTTTTCGAAGCGCATCTTGTCTGAAATGTTTCATTTGGTTTGCTTGATTTATGATCGGTTCTTGGATTTAAACTGAGTTTTTATTGGATCTGTGGATTATCGAGTTTGGGGTTGAACTGAGTTGTATTTTTGGTTCTCCACTTATGATTTATGCCCCTCCTGATACACAAAGAGTTGAACTGTATACTTAACTTGTGTCAATGACTAGCAATACTTCTATTTACAGGACCTAATTATCCAACAATTATTTTTAATCATCAGAGAAATATCATTAGGAGGGAAGTTAGTTGTGTTTTGCTTATAATGATATTTTCCTTATTGGATGGAGTCAATGCTCACTTAGTTGCTTTCCTTCATTGGTTTAGGTAGATGAAATAAAAATTTTGTCATTGTTCTGAAATACATTATTGGAAGAGGCTAATGTGCATCCGAAAAACAATGCTATGATGTCCAAAGAAAATGGAATTTAGTTAGTGCTTTTCCTTTTGGTATTGGGTTGCTCCCATACTGAGAGAAATCAAGTATTATGTGGAAGCATTGAGAGGATCCATCACAAGCTGCAACTGGTTTGAGAATTGGAATATTCAATCTAAGCTACCTTGTGGTCCATATTTGTGATTTCTTGAATTTATACGCATTCGGTGACCCAAGATAATATATTTTTGTTCATATATTATACGTCTAATATTACACTGCATCTTATTGATTCATTGTTATCCTATTATTCACTGTTGCAGCCAATTTTGTTGCTGATTTTAGCAACCTTTGATGATGCGGTAGATGACACTTTACTGATTAATATATGAAAAAAATCTTTTGCCATGACAGATGCATCTTTACCCAAATTTTAGGATAAGTTCAAAGGGCCTGTTTGATATGAAAAAATGTTTTACATTCTGATTTTCCTTTTGTTTTCTATTTCAAAATCTGAATCAAAATAACCAGGTTGGAAATGGTCACTCCACTGAAGAACAAACATTGGATCTCATGAAATTCCTAGGCTGCATTTGTCTCGTATTATGATCTCAAGAATGAGAAACAACGGTCAATCCCAATGACTTATGATAGATTAAGAAGCAAACAAATTTGAATGATATCAATTGTTGAGTTATTTAGATAAAATATTAAAATATATGTTATTCTAGGAATATCCAAAATAAGTTGTATGTTTTGTTGTTCACGAGTGGAATGGTAATGATTATGATGTTTCAATTCAAATTTACAATTTAATATTTGGATAGTAATTTTGCTGTCTCAGACCTTCTTTTAATATTCTTAAAGTTGTTAATTAACGCTTATACATTTTACTTTGTTGGTGATGAACAAAGTTTGATATCATTGGACAACAATGAAGTGGTATAACACTGTTTTAGTTTTACATGTCTTGTGGTATTATTCTGAAATAGGTCAATATGAATAAATTCTGCATAAAGTTGACTTGAGCATGGCTTGCAAATAGAGAACCAATGACTAGCTTTGTGTTATGAAATGGAAATAATAGGAAAGGAAAGCTAACTTTAGAGAAAGTGTCTATTCCATAATTAAATATTTTTTTTTATCAAAGGTTCTTTTATTTTACTGAGTGTTGGATAGTATAGCTACTATGTGATTTAAATTCACTTATGAGAGCTAAAGTGAAGCCACACACACCTCACTTATGGATTTTGTTTCTCTAAATTAGATTTTATGGTGTTTATAATGAATTACTGCACAGATTCTTCTTTATTTGTTCAACAAGGAATTATATCTAATCCCTTTGGCAGGTATATGTGCAATGGTTAGTTTGAGTATGTGATCAGTTTAGTATGATGTTCTGAAAATACAAAAATGAAGAGTTTTTTTTTTTATAGATTTTGGGGAAAGTTGTGGGAACAAAAAATTATTTGATGCATTACATGCCAAGACGAACCGCAAGAATAACTATCAAACTATCATTGATGTTTTGTCTAATGAAAACATTGATATTTGGAGAGGAGCAATTGTTTGATGGCATCTGACATGCTTATGTTGTTTTGTTTGTTTGATTGTGTGTGCACAAAGTCTTGGATTTAATGAAGTTCAAAATTATTTGGAATAGCTGATGTCAAAACCTGCCACAGCTGGTAGTAATATCCTTTCAATCTTAGTCATTATGTTTTACAGAGGAAGGTGACATGGAGATCTGAGGATGAGGAAAAAATTAAGAAAAATTTCCACTCCAAGGCTTCACATAGACTTTCAGAGATGTTTAAAGAGGCTAGAAGAGAAGGTAAGAAGCTTGATAGGATTGAAAATAATATCTGGAACAACCTCTTGGAACAGTGGAACATGCCTTTATATCGATCAAAATGTGATACAACAAAGAAAAATTGGGCATTCGATAAAGGGGGAAGTTTGCACACCGACAGATCAATTAGTATGCACGAACACGCCATTCGTTTGGTATGAAATTTTAAATATTTTTTACCATTCATTTATGATGTAACAATTATTTGGTAAAGACATATTTTATGTTTTTTTATTCAAACAGAGGAGCTCGGTCACTCAGTCCATGTAGATGGAGTTTTTCAACAGACGCATATAAGAAAGAGTACTGGCGAATTCGTCGATAATAGGTCTAGGCGGACACATGTGAGTTTCTTTCATTATTAAATCTTAAAGTTTTTTATTATTTAAAAGACACATGTACAAATTGTCTTATTTGAACAGGAAGACTTTGAGAGTAGATATTCTCGAGTATTGTCTGAGTAAACTTCTAATGTGGGTGCTTCACAATGCACTCCCTTAGACCCTGTTGAAGAGGAAAGACTAAGGAATAGATGTTAGTTAGAGGTTGTAGGAGGAAGGTATAAGGGACGCATGTATGGAGTTGGTCATGTTGACTCTAGTGATGATTGTGTTAAAAGTTATATATAATAGACATAAGCGTGCTCCAGTCAGAAAGCTGATTCACAGAAAATTAATCAACTGACACAACGACTGGAAAGTAGTGAGTAATGATTGGAAAGTAGTGAGGAAAAAATTCGTATGATGAGCTCCCAGTTCAAGTCCATCCAGGCATTCATTGGCGTAGTCCTTTCAATACTTATCACCTCCAGCAACAACGACAACACAAAACATTTTGCAACAACCAATTAATCAAGACAATGAAGATCAAGAGAAGGTTGCAAAACCAAATATTGAACAACAAAATCAAGATCAACATAAGGATGCAGATGATGATTACATAGATTATTAGCATTTTAGGAAATTGTATTGGATATGTTTCATTATATTTGGATATATTTGACATTTTTATTTTGTATTGGAACAATAAATTGTTATTTTATTTTATATATCATTTTATTTTTTTATAGTTATAAACTTGTGTATCTAGATAATTTTATATATCATTTAATGTCCAGGTCAATGCAATCAGAATAATGTAAAAAAAATGAAGAGTAGTAAATACTTCAATTACTTACGGATATATCCGTAGGTAATTACCTACGGATATTACCTATAGATATATATCCGTAGGTAATTATTACCTATGAGGGATTTATCTACGAATTTTTGCCCATAGGTAATCTAAATTTATCTACGGATTTTCTTGCTTACCTACAGATTTGTGATATAGGTAATCACAATTTTTCTTGTAGTGAATAATTTTGTAATTTCTAATTTAAAATATATGTACTTTGCTTCAAATTAGTTTATATAGATATAAATAGATAAAGCCGGATAACTATTAAATGATTATTCTGGATGTTAAATTTTGTTATCAATATATTTTATAATGTTTTCTAAAGAAATCTATTTAATAATGTTAAAAGCATTGGAAGGGAACGATGTCATATTTTCACGATTATTATTTCATTTTCTTAATATTAGTATCGGACATTATGGAAAAATATCACAAATAAGTTTTTTATCTCATTTTGTTTTGTCGAATTATAAAATAATTAATTTAAAAAAACGATTGTATTTAAAAAATAGTTTTTATGTTGGTCTTTTTGAGATTCGACATAAATTTTGTGTTTTATTTCATCTAGGATTTTTTCTTCTTCACATGTACGAGAGTTTTTGAGTCGACGAAGACAATGACCATTGCAACACCTCTAAGAGTATTTTTTTATCACGGTGAGCAGCAACCACACCTACATTGTGTCCCATTTGTGATGATTAACATTTCTCTGCGATTGGATTCGAGTTTTAGAACATCTTGAGTATCTTTGAGGTTAGTAATTTATGTCTCTAGTTTTATATTTAAATTGAATTCATGATTGTTTTGTGGAATTTCAATAATAGTATTGTATGAATGTCTTCACTGTATTATTATTGAAATTGAATTGTTATTCTTTGTGGCTATTTGTTTATTTGTTTGAGTACATCTATTGTTTATAAACTATATTGTTATGTTTTTATGGTTTATTTATTTGAGTTCCATATTTTTGGTTGTTTATACACACACACACACACACACACACACACACACATATATATATATATATATATATATATATATATATATATATATATATATATATATATATATAATATGAATATGTATTCATTTTGTTAAAATTTATTAATCATTGTTTTTTCTTTCAAGATTATGTTGAATTTGATGTCCGGCAATGACAGGAGGCGTCAAACCCAAATACTATAAAGTCTAAGAGCTATGTGTGACTCCTAACTCGACACAATGTTTCTATTATTATTATTCCATCTTGGGATGATGTTGAGGAGACCGAGAACAACCTCATGTGACAAGATATTTAGGTATTTACACATTCATTGAACACTCCATATATTAATAATTGAATTTAACATCTTTTGGTAATTTGACAGCAAAATTTTGACATTCCTAACATTGAAGTGATGGGAAAGAAGATTTTATCATCCATTGCCATTAGATAGAGGGACTTTAGGACT